GTTAAAAAGTATAGAATCCCCAGAATATCTCGAAAAATATAAGTTTTATAAAAAAATATTTTAGATAAAAATTGTAGGATTTAAAAAGATCTATTTATTGATCTTATCAGTTTGACCTTAGGTGAAGACGCTTCGGAGATTTGAAGATTATCTTTATTCTTTTAAATGGAACCACCCTAATTTTTTTATATAAATCGATTTTTTGCAATATTTGGCATAACAAGTTATAAAGGTAGAATGGCCAAAAATTTAATAGTTTACGAGATATTTTATACTTTAATTGGACATAATTTTACACAAACTATGAAATATCTCGTTAAATATTTATTTTTCAATTATCATACCTCAACACTTTTATTCACAAAATAATGAGAGAAATTGATTGGTGTAAAAAACACATAGTTGTCTTTAAGAAAAAGTATATGATATCATTTCAGCTACATATTGAGGTAAGATAATTGAAAAATGAATATGTACCGAGATATTTTTCATAGTTTGTGTAAAATTATGTCTAATTAAAGTATAAAATATCTCGTAAACTATTCAATTTTTGGTCATCCTACCTTTATAACTTGTTACGCTGAACATTGCGAGGAATCGATTTATATAAAAAAATTAAGGTGGTTCCATTTAAAAAAATGAAGATAATCTTCAAATCTCCGAAGCAACTTCACCTAAAGTCAAACTGATAAGATCAATAAATAGATCTTTTTAAATCCTACAATTTTTATCTAAAACATTCTTTTATAAAACGTATATTTTTCGAGATATTCTGGGATTCCGGTATTTTTTATACACCCTGTATATTAAATATGCATAAAGCTTATTTTCGTTGCAATTAACTCATATTAATATGTTTTAATAGGAAAAATGTTTTTCTACTAAAATTGTAGAAATATTATTGTACTTGTTTTGTTTATACAGGGTGTATCAGAACTGGCGGAAAAGTTTTTAATGCCAGATTCTTCATGAAATTCTAAGACGAAAAGCTCTTTACAAAAAAGTGATCCGATGAATAGAATTAGAATGGTGAGGCATTGAATTTGACGTATGGGAGCGCATGAAACTCGCGCGATCAGCATCGGCACGACCAAGTTCGGCACACGTTTCACTCATGACTCGTGTATCGTGGCGATGAGTTTTTTTCTCATTATTCTACATTATTTTGCTATTAGTAATATGAATTATTAATTAATCTTATTAATAATGATATTTATCTTTATTAATCAATAATTACTTGTGTACTTTGATTACGTACTAGTTGCATAGTCCTTAAACGTGGGATATGCGGGATATTGATTAGATTAACTTAACAAATAACAAATTTAAAATAAATAATTAATAAATAAATTGACCATAATTTTATGAATCAATTAATTATTTAATTACTAAAATAATTGAAATTAGTTTCCCATATTTCCCCATGTTTAAAAACTAAGCAACTAGAACATAATAGAGAATAAACTAATAATAAATAATTCAATAATTGTGTAAGTAATATCGACTAAGATTTCAGAAGAATGTGAAAAATTTCAAATACGTATTTTTTATGAAATATTGGGTTTAATGTCTTTCGATTAATTTGAAAAGAATTACAATTGCTCTATGCACATTATAAAATAAACAAATTATAGCAAGTGTTCAAAATGTCCACTACCTACTGCAATGCATAGACGTGCACGTTTTATTACATTTTTACACGCTCTTTCGATCATGTCTGCCGTGATGTAGCCTAAAGATGTCAATATTTTCCCCTCCAGTTCTGCGTCATTATCAATGGGTTCGCGATATACGAGCTCTTTCATGTGGCCCCACAGGAAAAAGTTTAGCGGATTCAAATCTGGTGATCTTGCGGGCCAGTTTATTGGTTCACCACGATCTGAGATATGCAGGAAAGAACATTACTTGTGAGGCGCATGATACTTTCGTTAGACATATAAATAAAAAATCACTCTTTAGAAAGGACAATAGTTTAATATATGTTACATATTTTTATACATTCTATATATTTTTATATATTATTTAGTGTTAAATATATCTTTAAAATATAAAATACATTACTGCATATGTAAAAAATGACTACATTTTTTAACCTCGATTTACTCTCTTTTATTCAGTATTATATTCAAAAAATCGATTTAAATTCGGTATATATTCAATACTTTCTTTAGCACATGTATATTTAATAATATTTTATCTTCAATTTAATTTTTTCCAAATATCTTTTCATATTTTCAAACCTTTGATTATATTAATACACCGAACCAGTATTTCAATTTGCTTGTTTTGGGCAAAAGGCGGGGCCTATCTTACTCAATGCGACTTACAGCTATGTCTCGCTCTTATGCATTGCTTAGATGTGAAAAGTGGGGGTAACTAACAGTCCATATTTCTATAGTCAAAGATTGCAATACACATAATTTTTTATTATAATAGAAAATTTATTAACGATATATAATATTTATTACTTTATTCTTATTTTATACACTAACGTGAAAAATCATATTCTGCAGATTCATAATGTTAAAATATTTTATTAATATAAATATGATATATGTTTTATAAAAAACTGTAAATCTCAGAAAAAATATCGCGTCAAGCGAAAGCAACACGCCGCTAGTCGACTAGTCGCGTGGAGCGAAATTCGGGAAAGCATTTTCGCTGCCAACGTTTGGCAGAAGAAATCGTGCGAGCCTCAAAACCGGTTTGATGCTACGCTTGGTGGACAGGAGATACAAAACATAGGTCCGCTCACTTCTACCAGACCGACAGCCGAGCGCACACGAACACATGACGTCAGTGGGTCTCGGTTGTGTGCGTATGGAGCTCTCCGGAGAAAACTGGCAGCTCTGGCGACCCCTCGACGCCATTACACATCTAGTCTCTACTCTCAGGCTTCTCTCTGGTCAATCTTTAAACTGATCATGCTTTCATGTCATATAAACAAATTTTTGCGGCATATATCTTCTCGTGCAACGTTTAGTTATCGCAATTTTGCTTCAACGAATGTTGAAACAGGTATCTTTTTTATTGTATTTAATGATGTATTAGATTGGATTTGGTTTGTAGGTTATGTTTATTTGTGTATGTTTGAATAGGAAAGTTAATCGGAATATCTTGCTATTATTATGCTGTTTTTATTCAGTTATGTTGTATTATTATATTATTTTTATGTATCATTGATCTAACTAATGTATTTTTTATTATAATTGTAGTATTAGAATGCTAATATGCTATTAAAATGTATTAAATTCTGCTTTCTTATGCAGATAAATTAACACAGATTTATAGAAAGAATATTATATTACTTTTACAGATCCAACAGAAAGAGATCCAGCATTATTTTTTTTTGATAAAGAAGTTCAGAAGTCTCTCAAAACGCTGACAACAGTAGATTATAAAAAGGTCTTTAGAATTCGCCAAGATGGGCACAAGCTTGAGCCTCCACAGTATAAATTCTTAACAGATGAGGAACTCCAGGAAGCAAGGAAAGCGGTTGAATGTAAGACAAACAAGTATTTGCAAATGCCACCAGTAGTAAAACAGAGATTAGACTTATTTGCACCATTGTGCAAGAATCCTGCGTTACAGAGTCATGATACTGTTAAATACATATTCACCGATATTACATACGGCCTTAACGATAAAGATAGATTCATAGTAATTAGAGAACCTGATGGCACTTTGAGATATGCCAATTGGCAAGAGCATGATAAAATGCTACAAATCTATTTCCCAAAATCAGGGCGAGAGTTAAGAAAACCAAAGATGTTTGAAGGCGAATATTTGCAAGTAAGTATGTTACTCAAGAAGTTTACTACACAGTTTTACATCTAGTGATATTAAGAAGACACAATTTTGATAGCAAAATAAGGGAAGCAAATCTAAAATTAACATCAACATTTTTTTCACAGAGCTTATTAAATCGTAACAAATACGAGTTTATATTAGATCGCGCATGCGTGCAATTTGAGCCAGATGATCCAGATTATCAAGCGATTACACGGGAAGTTTATGAGTATATAAACAGAGAAAAACATTTCGACACCTTGAGATCTACACGCCATTTCGGGCCGATGGTGTTTTATCTAGTATGGACAAGCAATATCGACAATTTGTTGTGTGAGATGATTGAGACTAGTAGGATTAAGGATGCTGCGCTACTGATACGTTTATATCATAAGATTCATCCTACATCTAAATCAGCGGTCGACCAGTGCCGAGATACGGATAACATAAAATTTATTATGCATTATGCGAATTTGAAATCGCCAAAGAAAGGCACAATAGATAAGCTCATGCAATCGTACAAAGAATTGCAACAGAAGCAACAAATTGTGGCAGAAGACATTAAAAAAGCACATGGCATTTCATTGAAAATGGATAATGTGTAAATATAAACAAATAAATCCTAATATTCTATTACTTCTATACTTATTTCTTTGCTGTTTGATCCGCATCTCAAACATTTTTGTGAAAATAGCTGATGTTAATAGACTCAATTATTTGAATTATAACGCTGTATCGTTTTTTTAAAAAAAAGTTGTTTAACAAAGATTTTGAAAACTGCAAAAATCAATTATTGGAAAAAGTGTTTAAAAAAGATCGGCAGTATATGTAAATTAAATTGATAACAGAGGGGAATTACAAAAAGATGTTCAATAGTAAGAGAATGTAGGCAATTCATCGAAATGAAGGAACTTACACTATGGTGTTCCTCCGAGAACATGAGTCCACAATACTTTTCTTTAGGACACCCTATAAAATAAGAGTGAGACTCGGTGCTGCGGTATATGTCATGATTTGCTTTATTCGTTGTTCGTAAGGTCGAATCAATCGATGGATAACAGACACACGGTTGTCGTCAGGGTAATCCGATAATTATTACTCGATTATTTTATTACGTACGGTAATAGTACTTACAAACATTTACAAATGTAACAAGTCAATTCGATTTGGCGTACAGGATCGTGAGAAAACATTACACTAATGATTTTCCGCTAATTCGCGTCACGGAAAAAAATACAAATTGATGCAAACGATTGGTCTGCGCAGATGGACAGCGCGACACCTGTTCAAAAATGCTTCGTTTACGATTAGAGGGAGATGAGTGATAAGGTATGGGGAGGATTAATTATACTTAGCGATTAAACATATTCGGTAACAAATAACAGTTCTATCGATACTTGAGTATCGCCGCGAACGAAAATGTACCGTTTAAAGTAGCTTTATACAAATGCAATATACGGTATGACGACAGTGTAAGTACCTACAATCATGGAACAATATACAAATTTGACGTGTAAAAACGAAAAGCGTGAGAAAAGTCCTTTTTTTTCTTTTTTTTCCTGTCTCCCCGTTAGGATCGTGCATCGTTACCGTGAATATTTGATAAGCACTCGCAAATATATATCGTAATGTTCGTTATCAATCATTATCATTCGCCTTATCCTTAGTGTACTCTTACTATAAGTAATTATTTCCCTATAGACGTGCTCCGAATTATGACGGTGAAAAATAAATAAGGTATGCATATCTCGTCGCATGTTTAACCCTCGGATGCAATTAGTCATGCTAATATCTTAAGTAGCAGTCGATCTCACATTTCTTTAATTGTAAAATAAATATTAGTCGACCGTGATTGTAATTATCTACGTCGCTTATCGTTAATATTATTACTAATAAATTATAAGATTAAATTTGATCGCGAAACATGCCAATATTAACACTTGGTCTCTTTTTTTGTGATATTCGCAAAAAGTGCGACATACATACATATAATTGTCACTGCGATTTTTTACGGAGACAATATCATAATGCGTATAATTTATTTCTAACAATCTATCAACAATTTTCAATAACTCTAATTTTTAATAACTACTAACAAAAAGAATTTTTATAATTTACGAATTACACAATTAAACATAGAAAATCGATTTATTGTTTTCGCATCGAAACATTTAATTTTTACCCTTTTTTTAAATTAATAATTGGCGCATCAACAAGACGCCATTCGCTTAGAAGAAAACAATTCGCTTAACACAAGAAGTGCATATCTTCAATCTCTTGGCAATCTTATTTAGAGAGTTTATTCATCAAGTTAAAATAGACTCCACAAACGCATCCGAGGGTTAGTATAAAAAGCTCGTCGAATCTATGTCCGATCGGGCTAACAAAAGGATGAAGCGTATTTATTTTATAAAATAAATTTATTATCGCATATGTGCGTATTTATTTTACAAAATAAATTTATTTTATAAAATAAATACGCACATATGCGAAATGTGTCAGCTCTTTAGGCCTTTCAAAGCAAGGTATGCGGCTGCATGGATAATCCAAACAACACGAAAAGTCTGAGACATTCGAAAGACATCCAAAAGACGTGTGACACTTTCGGACACTTCGCTTAGACATTTCAGAGAGTTCAGGTTTGAAACATTCGCGTTGTCTGGGCAGCGCAACGACGAGCTCGCCCTTTGTGCAATAAGCTGCAATAAAATAGTGCAAAACCGGCGATCGCGTTTGAGAAACGATCAAGGCAACGTGCTTGATCTCGCAATCGATTTCGTGACAATTCAATAGATTTCACCTTTTATCAAACACAGAAATGCTTGCAAAAAAGCAGTAAAATCGATAAGAAAAGACAGATAAGCTTGTAAAATTCAATATAAAAATTTCTCGTACATTACAGCAGCATACGCATGACGAATCGAACAGAGTTATGAGAACATACTTTTATATATCTTTCACAGTTTGAAGAATCCACAATTTTTCATCAATTCGTATTTGGAAAAAATATTAAAAGATTGATTTAACGTTATTTATGTTTTTTACAAATATTTCAAGTTAAAGTCAGAAACTTATTTATGCAATATATAATTTTAAATTAGACAAAAATGTACATTTTTCTTAATTTTTAGCTTACTTTAAAAAACACGCAATATGGATCTATGTTGGAACACAAAGTTCACGATCGCAAGATATTTTCTGTCACCTTGATCGCAAATATTCAACATCTCGCCCACGATAATGGAAAAAACGATGAAGCGCAATGACTCGACGATCATTATCCTGTGGAGCGTAGGGTGTGATAATTAGCTAATAATCGCGATCGCTCAAATAATCTTAACAACATGAGATGCACGCTGCGCAGTGTCAAAACTGCAGAAATATAGTAGAGAACTGCTGCGTTTGGGTTGGTAAATATTGAGCAATATTTTTTCCAATGCACACCTTTTGGCCGCCGTAAAATTCATTGACAGGTTTTCTTCGCGCGTCTTGCCGTGTCTCTCGACTCTAATCGGTCACGTTGTTTTCAGACTGGATAAAAATCAATTCTTTTTTTCTCTATCCGAAATTCGACAGCGAAAATGAATTATATCCATAATTCAACACCCAAATGGACCGATTTATAGATTGAATTTTTGCTTTTTTTCTATTTTTATAGAATTCCTAGAAAGGACCTTATTAAGACTTACATTAATAACTTTGTATATTATCTAAACAGAGAAGGTCTATCGATGATTTAATTAATTTAAATTCGGTGCAATTTGGCCCACGATCGTGCAAATATAATATATGCAAATGTTTTTGTACCGCGCTTTAGAACTTGAATTGATTCATCATTATTATCGATAGATAGTTACAGGTGACAGGAATCCGTCGTCACCAAAATGCGCGCGGCAGGTGAAATTGATTGAAAAAGGTAACTAGATCTAAAATTGTTGTCGCATCCTGTTGCCGTTTTCTAGGTCCGTCTGTCGACCATTGTGTCGCACGCCAGCCTCTCACCTTCACTATATCCCTTTATTAAAGGATATTTAATCGGCGTATAGTGCTATCCGTAATCTTTTATCAGCAACGAGAATAATGCATATATGCGACTGAATGTGTGTGTATATACAAATACGATAGCAATTGTCCTAGAATACGCGATAAAAATCAACGTTAGGTTTATATGTAAATTTTGCCGATACATAGTTCTGCTGTTTCGTTCGTGATATTAATGAGGCATGAATGTGTGCGTGTATGTATACATGCATATGTACGTAGAGGATTGCAGTATATCTCGTATATGTATTACTCTATCTATTTTTTCCACTTACATGTATATATTTATATAAATCTCCCATTCGCCTGCGTATATTTATGTGTATATATATA